CTGCATTACTGTAAGGGTAGGTTTAGGGTTGGGGTAGGTGTAGACTATAATAAAACACAATCTAATAGACAGAAAAAAATATTTATTGTTGGTTTTCTGTAGCTGTAGCCTATCCCTTAGCCACAACCGCGAATATAACACATAATTACTGCATTACTGTAAGGGTAGGTTTAGGGTTGGGGTAGGTGTGACATTAATAAACCATAATTTTACAGGTAGCATTTTTCGTTGTCGAATTGTACTACCCACTGTTTTAATGGGAGGTAGCAAAATCTGACAGGGTAGCACAAATCGACAGAACACCGCCACAGACAGCGCGCGTCCCTACCGAGCGAGATCTAATTCACGGACTACAAGTGTGTAAACTTTATTTTACTTTATTTCAATTATATACAGGCTGTAGCCTATTGTATTTAATAAATAAGCTGATAAAAAAAAGAAAAAACAAACATTTAATTCATTGCGCATACATAACTCGTGCAATGCAATAACGACGTGATTTGCAGCTGTCGCACTTTTCGTAGTCATTATAGCATTTTATTTAAAAAATGGAGCGCATCCTTGTAGAGTAGACCTGCCCCCGACAAAAAAAAAAAGTTCTATATAAATATATATCGTTATATTAACTGATTAATATAATAATATACTAAACCATCCTTTAATATATAGACAGGCGTATTAAAGCCTATTCCGCGCTCAAGCTCGCGCATTACGCAATTGCCTCAAAGCACCGGCAAAGTGATTATGAATGTGTTGGGGAAAAAGAAGACATTTTAATTATTTATTAATAAACTATAGTGCTTTCTCAGTCAGTATCGGCTGCAAAGATGAAGTTGCCGAATGCAGACGCTGACTTGCCATCTCCACATGGACGTGCCTTTAATAGAAATAATAGAAATTTAATTTTCATACGGACTACATAATTAGAGAATATTACAAAATCGGGTGGGCGAGTTTTCCTTACATTTATTTTATTCATATAAAAAATAATAATAACCTGTTTTGGTTATATTTACTATTAGGGTGAATAGGGGTCATCTGGGACATTGTGTAATCTGGTACACCTAAACTCCAGTGTGTTTATTTCCTGTTCTAACAATATGTAGTCAACGGGCAAGTTCAAGCTCAAACCGGTGCGCAACGTTTTGCTACGGTTTCCGGTTTGAACGACATGTTTCCTGGAAACGGTGTGCAACGGGGTTTGAGATACGTTTTCTCTTGTTTGGTGGGTGTGTCAAAAAATGTCAGCCCAATCAGCAGCAACATGTATATAAACCACAAGGTATTAAAGAGACAGCTTGCACAATGTAATTAACATCCAAATAAATTCACAAGAGCAAGTATATTGTTTGCACATGTTTATTTACATTAAAGGCAAAATAACTGAAATAATAAGAGCATAAGTATAGATCTGGAACTTCTTTAAGTCTGTCTAAATATCATTTAGTAATTGCAATGTCTTCTGGTCCATATCCTTTCCTTAGGAAGGTGTGCTAAATACTGATTAATGTAACATAAAAATACTATACATATTTATATATTTTGCTATAGTATTGTGGAGTGACACTTTCAAAAACTTTTCTATATTCCTCTGATTATATAATGGTAAATATTACAATAACATAGCACAACAACAGTGATCAGCAATAATGATAAGCCTAATACTCACAATAAAAATAATAAGGTCATATAGATCATAACACAGTCTCGGAGGTAAGAAGTGGATTATCCTTCACCTGAAATGTGTGTCTTTTCATCCTGAAATGCGAGGCAAATGTTGG